ACCAGCACTGTAAACAGCAATCTGGGCACATCGGGACTGGCTCTTCTTGTGGACCGAACGACGAAACGAAGGGGACTCACCTTTCCCCGGACATGATGTTTGGACACAGGGATGCACATCGAAATGCTGGTCGATGAAGACACCTAGTCGGTAGATATGCGTTGTTCTTGGCATCTCCACTCGGCTCAGGAAAAGTGTTGGAGGGGTCGAAGGTTGGTGGGAGGCAGTCATGTGAAAGGTAGCGAATTTGGTTTAAGTTTAGGGGAAGCTTGTTATCGTTTGACCAGAGAAGAACGGCGATCTATATCAGCTTGTAGCTCTTTAAGGAACGTACAATCGGGATAATGATGAGAAAAGCTCCTAAAATACAGCCAATTATCCTCAAAACGTCGCCGGTCGTAGAGCGGACACGCACAGATACACACGCGAAAGCGTCTGCTAGCGTGTTAAGCTACAGCGCCCAAAAATGCAGTGGCGGTTCAGCGAACTAGAGAAAGTACTAAATAAAGAAAAGCAAATGCGGCGCGCTCACGGTGCCTCGGGTGACCTGGTCGCCCCTATAAAGCCAGTCGTGGTGAACGGCAGGGCAGCGCTCCAGCGGGACGATCCTGAGCTGCGCTCACTGATCGACCACTTAAAAAGACGAGGGGCTGCGATTCTTCGAGCCTCCTCAGGTGCCCTGCCAAGATTCGCCGTCCGAAGAGGTATTCTCTACAAAGAGAACTTCAGGGCCAGCAAATCGACGTGGCTTCTCGCAGTTCCTACTGGTCTCCGAGAAGAGATCTTTCAAGCTTGCCACGACGACCCAACATCTGGTCACCTTGGCTACAGCAGGACTCTGGCGAGGATCCGAGAAAATTACTACTGGCCCAAGCTCCCGAAGACTGTCCACCTCTACACATGATCGTGCCACGAGTGCCAGCGACGTAAGAAACCGCCGACGAAGCCAGCAGGCCTCCTGCAGCTGATCGGGCTCACTCTGCACCGATCCAGCAGATTGGAATGGATTTACTGGACCTTTCCCGCAGTCGACGCCGGGAAACCGTTGGATAATCGTGGCAACTGATTATCTAACGCAGTAAGCCGAGGCAAAAGTACTCCCGTCGGAAACCGCAGTGGAAGTAGCCAAGTTCTTCGTTGAGTCTATTGTCCTCCGACACGGCGCTCCCCAAGTCCTGATTACAGAAAAAGGCTCATCGTTCAGGACGCAAATGACACATGAGATACTCCGCCCTAACCACACCGACCACCGCCGAACCATGGCATACCACTCACAGACCAACGGGCTGACGGAGCGATTAAACAAGACCATTGACGGCATGATCTCGATGTACATGCACGTGAAACACCAAACGTAGGATAAGGTGTTGCCATTCGTCATGTTTGCGTACAACACGGCAGTTGAGGAAACCACTAGGACAACACCTTTTGAGCTGGTGCACGGCAGATAGGTGATGAGGATGCTAGACACCATGCTGCCCTATGACCCGACGGACGACGGCACCAATGACGATCAGCTTGTTGCTCAACGAGCCGAAGAAGTCCGCCAGCTCGCCCGACCCCGTATGCAAGACCAAGAACGTGTCGACGCTGGACGGTACAATCTTCGTTGCCGCGACGTGGAGTTCCAGTCCGGAGACAGGGTGTGAGTGTGGACGCCCATTCGCCGCGGCGGACTCAGCGAGAAACTCTTAAAACGCTGCTTCGGACGCTACGAGGTCATTCGCCGCCTTGGGGACTTGAACAACGAGGTGCTCCCCGACGGAACCCGACTAGCAGGACGCCGCTAGTCACGACCCGAAGTTGTTCACGTAGTTTCGACTCAAGCCGTTCTACGCGGGTTAGGATTGTGACGCTGCGTGTTTATTTCGGCTCACCACATTCTTTTGTTGTTCTTTGCCATTTTTGTTTTCCTTTCGCCTTGCATCGGGACGATGCGCTTTTAAAGGGGGCGGGGGGGGGGGGGGGGGGATAATGCCGCCCGCAGGGCCGAGAAAGCAACGCTCGGTCAGGGAATTCTAGAAGATTCGTGTTTATTCTGTCAAGGAAGCACCATTTATAATTTATTCCTGCTTTCTTAAAGTGCGTGTTCATTCTCGCGCCGATCGCGCGACGCTCGAAGCGTCTTTGCCGAATTTTCTAGATAGTCACGCAGACTATATAAGAAGCGGTCCGCGTCCTTGTCGAGTCGGTCAGTCTCTCTCTCGCTTGCTGTTACGCCACCAAATCGCCGCACGCTTTTCTGCTGTCTCGACGTTCGTTCTTTATTTGCTTGGCAGAAGTTCGCCGATTAGATATTTATTTTCAGTTCACGGTTAGTCCTTTCGTCACCTTCATTCGTGACAATATCCACCTAAGATTATTTTTTTGATTTTATTCTATCTTTTAATTGTGTGTTTCCGTGCTTACCTAGGATTATTTATTTAGTATTTCCTCATTTACTTTCCGGCCGTGGAGACTGCAGCGACAGATCCCCAATCCGGCCCCTCGGGGAACTAAGTTTGGAGACCCCTGATCTGGATGATCGTCGTAGACTTCCCAAAGCGGGACCCCTGACGCCCACGCCAGGGGTCCCACAGGGGAGCATATTGGGACTTGTTCTATTTAATTTATGCATTAATGATATCGTTAACGTAAATAAGCACGCGAAATTCGTGATCAACGCGGATGATACGAGCGTATTTTTTTTCTTGCGATACTTGCGACTATTTAATCGATATGGCAAATCTGGCCCTATCAAAGATAAAAAGTTGGGAAGAAAGCAACTCCTTGAAAAGCAATATTCATAAAACAAACGCTGTGATTTTTCGACCAAAAAACAAGCCCGTGGTGCTCTCTAAAGTACACACTTTTAGCTGTACTCCAATCGAAATCTTTAGTTGTTTTAAAACTCTTGGAGTCATTTTTAGTGAGGGTATGTCTTGGGGGATAGCCATATAAATTATCTTATCCCAAAGCTAGCTCGAGTATTGGGGATTCTAAGTCGATACAGATCTGTGTTACAAACAAATGTTAAATTATTGCTTTATAAATCATTATTTTTCTCCCACTTAACGTATTGCCACCTTGTTTGGGGAACGTCAACAATTAACAATGTTTTAAAACTTTTTATGTTGCAAAAGAAAATATTTAGATGTATATGTAACGTGGCACGAGACTTTCATACCGCTGATTTATTTAAGAACTTTCAAATAATCACTATTCACAAGTTATGTCAATATCGGCTTTCTACTAGTTGTAAAAGTGAAAAAACAAGAGGTACATGTCTCTTAGAAAGCCTTGCGTCGCTGTTGAAAGCTTCTCCATATCCTACCCGTAACCCAGAGAAATGAAGATGGTCACGCAGCGAACAAATTATGGCTCTCAAATGATAAGCTCCATACTCCCGCATTTGTTAAACAGCTTTAGCAGCAATAACATTCATCTAGAAAGTCTAACCTTTAGAGACTTGCGCTTATCATATGCTTGTGCGTGATCATTTTCTCTCTTAACGTTTGCAAAAGGTATTTTTAGTTTTGTGCTCTGATTTCTTACATCATTGCCTCTAGCACGGTATTATGTTGCTTTTTGTTTGTTTTCCCGCACGCTTCCTGCTGTCCATTGTAGGGGTCCAGGGACTCGTCAAGCTGCTCACTGCAGCTTTTTTTCTTGGGCCCCACCATCATAAAGGATGGAAATAAAAATAATAATTATTATTATTACAGAACAGCAGTACGAGGCTGGGTCTCCGGCGTGTAATTCTAGCTTGGCTTTATACGAGCAGTATTGGAGCCTTCATTTTCATGTCGGGAAGGTATAGGCAAGCACCTTTATTCTGAAACCGATCATCCAGGAGCTAAGGAGTGCAATTTTCACACCGCGGTACCACTATCGCTGGAAGTTGCAAAGAGCTGCCCTACTTGCTATTGGGAACAGAGCACTAGGCTGCACAAGCCATTGTTTTTCTGATCTGAGGTTGTCTCTGGTGCCAATATTTATCGAAGACTTTGTGCAAAGCGCAAGAAAGCATTTTGTCGCAAAAAAAAAAAATGTAAATGATTGCAGAAGGAAGGACGCCGTTCGCGTTCCCGACCGATGCCGGCGTTGGGCATGCATAATTCCGTCGGATAGACGAGTGGCAGATTATTTGCAAATCGGCCGAGGTTTTACTATTCCGCCAGAGGCTCGGGTTTGGAAAGATTTTGGTTCAAATAAATTCTACAGCAAGAAGGTGAATATTTAGCCACAAGGCGGATAATTTTTAGTGCGCAGCTCTTAGTCGCCCGTTTCCGGCTTGAGCGGCGTCGCCGTCGTCGTCGCCATCGGTGTCGGCGTACGCCTTGCATTCCGGGACGTTCCCTTAATGACGTCAGACGTGACGTTGTGTGTTGCCACGAAGGTCAGGAGTGACGTCACGAGGGTCCCGAGTTATGTCACAGGGCGCCTAAATTTAGCGAGAATATTTACCCGCTATATTTTGCGGAAAAAAATTTAGCGGGAAAATTTCTCCGCTAAGCTTGGCGGAAATTTAGCGGAAAAATTTTCCCGCTAAATTTAGCGGAAAGTATTTGCCACTAAACTTAGCGAAAAAATTTCCCGACTAAGTTTAGGGGAAAAACTTTCCCGCTAAATCTAGCGGGAAATATTCCCCGGCAAATTTAGCGGAACAATTTCCCCGGTAAATTTAGCGGAAAATTTAACGACAATTTCCCGCTAAAATTAGCGGAAAGGGGGAGGGGAAGGAGGAGCATAATCTCCCCTCTGTACCCTTCCCTCCTCCTCCTCAAGAGCTGCGCTCTAATTCGGCATTAAAGAAAATTGTAACCTTTCATTTTTTCAATCGCCCTCGTGCTTCGCGGCGGATTTTTTTTTTCTTTTTACAATATGTAGGGAAGAGCGTTTACTGAGTTAAGCATTGGAGCCGTCTCGCAGTGGCTCCGTGGCCCGTCAAGCAGTTTTGTCAGGGAGACGCTGTTGGGAGATAAGCGCGGAGCACGGGCGGATAGTTCGTCGCGACGTACCTCTGGGCCAGCGTGCCTCGTCGTCGGTGACCATGTCGACGCCATCGTAGAGCTTCTTCCGAAACTCGGCCAGGTGGTTGGCCTGGGGAAAGTAGGCCGAGAAGCCCGTGATCACCACGTCTTCGTCCGCCATCGTGTTCTGTCAAGAGGAAAGACGCGCCGGTGAGCCGGCTGTGTGGAGAGCATATGGTCAAAACCACGCGTCCTTGGTGCATCAAAAGGCAAGAAAGGACGCGCCAATCGACATGGAGAGCGCTACGCGCGATGGCGAGACAGCCGAGGGGGCGCTTTCATAGCTCGAGATCGGGTGAAAGAAAGGCAAGTGGGCGCATGTTGCGGGCACCGTGGTTGCGGGTAAGCAAACGCACCGGGTGCGCAAAGGGCAGACGAACTTGCGCGTCGTGCCCAGCGTGCCAGAAGCAGGCCGCTTCACACAGTAGCGTAACAGCTTAACACACTTGCGCCATCTGTCGGCTAGCCCCGGAACAATTCCAGCCTGCGTAGGTATCATTTTCTACGTATCATTCGTTCGCCGCGGGCTCGAGATAATTAAGTCGCGAGCGACTGTTTATCCTAGTGCGAAGAGTTAATCTCGCAAGCACCGAAGAGCCCTTTAGATTGGCTATACGCTATAGTTGGTGACAGGAGAAGAATTCGGGGAGGGGGAGGGGGGAGGTGGGAGCTTTCCCCATTTTTACTTTGGCAGAGTGAAGGTTGGAAAGGGGGCCGCACCCTCCTCAACGTTCGCTCTGCTGAAGTTGAAGGAGGTGGGAGGAGCTTTCACTTTACCGACTATAGACGGAAGTATCCCTCCCCGATAAATGGCATCCGTGTGCTAGTGTGCGGTTATGAAAAAACGCGAATGTGTGAACTTGCCTCTAGACCGAACGCAAGACCGAGCAGGGTGTTTTCTGATAAGTTCGGCCGACCATGTGCGATGACCAATTTAATTTTTAAAAAGAAAAAAAAAGTATTTTGTAGATTCAATTCCTATAAAAAAAAAAAACCAAAGTCTGTTTAGCGACAAAAATAATGTTGTCCTTGCAGAAAAAAATTAGAAGCACACCCTCAGTGCCAAGCACTTTCTGCGGATTGCGCGAAGTTGGCATTTCAAGTACCTCTTTCTCTCTCTAAAAAAAAAGAAAAAAAAAACTGTTGTGATTACCGGTTCAAAAATATTTACTCACAAACTAAGTATAAGAACGATTGGCTCAAAATATTTATCATTAAGTGTGGACGTTGTTATTTTTCTAGAAAAAAATTGCAACCTTCCGCCAAATACTTGCTTATTTTTTATTTTTCTCCGCATCTATAAACACCAGAACTTTCAAACGTTACCAGCGTGTTTTCCTGTATCTTGTTAATAGTGGTGCGAAATATGATTGCCCTGAAAAGCAAAATAAATTTGTGAGAAATGCTCAGATGGGGCCATTTTAATAATTACATGTTATGTTGAAACTTAATAAAAAAAAAGACCTTCGCTTTTTTGAAACCCTCCCACACTAATTAAGGCTAGTGATAGGTACTAACAAAATCTGCAAATACATGTTGCATTGTTTTTGTGTATTTTAAGTTATAAAGCTAGAAATATGACCAATCTGAGGTATACCGTAGCCCTAATTAATTATTTTTACAAAATCTAAAAATACACGAGCGTGGTCAGAAAGAAACAAATTGATGGCACAGAGGCGGACATGAGTTTTTAATTAAGAATTCTTAGTGCGTTTTTGTATAAGAGTAGAAGAAATTGCGAGCGGTCCGGAGCGATCGAAAGGCCTCTGATAATAATAATAATACAAAACTGTTTCTTTTATACTGTCTGGTGGGGACACGCGTGTCAAAAGTGAAGTTTACGGGAAGAAAATAGAACAATATTGACGGCTAGATATTTATTTGAAATTCTGCGCGCAAAGTCCATGACGTCAAAGAATGGTCATTCGCTCAACGAGATGGTAATTCGCTCTCTCCACCTCAACCTGAAGGCGAAGCGGATCCACCTCTCCTCCACGCGCCCGAAATGCCGAGAGAGAAAACAAGTGGAAAGGAGGGGACTGCCGACTAAATCGCGTCTTGCGCCGTCAATATTGCTCTAAATGTTTTTTTTTTCTTTTTCGCGTATAACTAGTTTGTTTTTTGTTTTGACGCGGGTGTTCCAAGCAGACTGTTTAAATTTTTTTTTTTTTATATTTATTTTCAGGGGTTCTGTAACACATGTTTATCTCAGACGTCGGGGCACCCTAGCGCGCTCCACCTGGCTCTCCGGCGCGCGTTGGTGTGAACAACGTGGCGCGCCGGCCGGGCCCGAAAGTCAGGTCTGTTCCCTCCGTGCGCTGTCGCCTTCAGACGGATAATAAAAACTCAGTGGAATAAATGTACGGGCGAAAAAGAGCTGGTGTACAATAAATATCAATAAAAAAAAACTTAGCTGCAGGTAACGACACACACACACACACACAAGTCTCAATCAAACAAACTTAGACGTTTGAGTGTGTGCGTTGTTACCTGCAGTGTCGGGATTATTTAATAATGCAGAAAAACTGCGAACCGTTTCACACAGCGGAGTGGGACTGCGTTTATCGTCCTAAGCTTAGCTTCATGTGCCCACGGGCCATAAAGCGCGAAGACTGGAGGGTACCCGTTGTGTAAAATTGTTTTCACAATTCTTTGTCATCATATTTTTGTGAGATTTGTTGCACTACACTGATCACAGACGCTGGGGGAAGCGAGTCTCGAAGTAGCTTCTTTGTGGACGCTCCCGTTCTTGATACCAACAATTCGTGCCGCAGTGCGTTTACGCGTGTGCACTGCCAGAAGTTCCAGGATTGAATTCCAGGCACGGGCCGGACGGAATCCCAGTCGCTCGTTTTTATTTTCGCGAACACCCGCACGTCAGGCCTTGGCCGGTGAATTAGTGCACCATTCGGTAATTTTGTCTTGTGAACATCCACCATACCTGACACATTCTTAACAGTTAATGTGGCAGACCCTCGGAGATTGAAAGAGTTGCATGATGTTTGACAAAGCCTCCAATCCCATCGCAGGCGTCATTGCCATGCCTAGTAGCTGAAATTAGCCATTTGACCGACAAACGCTTGGTTTGTGTGAGCTCATGGAGTTGATAGCGGCCGGTTCTTAAAATGACTCGCCGCACCGTCACTGACGTACGTCACATGCACGTACCGCGGAGCAACGTCCTCAAGCTACTAGTGAATTTTCGCAACGGCGTAGCATGCATAGGCGGAATCGTGGCTGGTGTCATCACTGTCAAGGGCGCAGCAACGCGTTCCTCTCCTAGCTTTCACCAAGCATGTGAAGATCGAAACTGGCGTCATTCAGTGATGTGATTGAACTTCTTCAGACAGTACAACTGTCCAGTTTTCTGCGAAATAAAAAAGGAGCAGGACATTCCTTTCTCTAGGAATTGTTTTGCTTCACTTTTCGTTTTTTCTTGCTCACGTCGAATATATTCATGCTGCCCCCATTTTCTCAAGCACTCTCGAAGGTGTTCCACAAACGTAAAAGGACTCAGTTCTTTTCATATAAGCTCTCCTTCTTCCCTTTCTAAACTCTCCTTTTTCCGTACAACACTTCATCATCATCTGGGACTCCCAGGACCGGCGCAGTAAGAGTTTTAGATGTTTGGCATGAGCTTCACTGACCGAGGAAACACTTCGTAGATCGAGGATCGCATATAGTTAGTTCACGAAGGTCTTCAGCACTTCTTATTTTTTCAGTGACGTTTTCTAAGGTACAAACACATAGCTTGATGTTAGCGCAGTATGTGCATACGTAAACTTCGTGCCAAGATGTATACGACACCCATTTTGGCCTCAATGAGTAGAACTTAATGAACCCAATGGCCGTGTCAAGGTGAGCCGCCTTAAACAACCGGAGTGTTTCACGAATAGAGATAGTCATAAAACATTTTGACACGTATTCTTTTTGTCCCTTTGGAATGGTGCCAATAACGTCCCTCTTGTTCGGGCTTTGTTGGGAACAGTTGAGTTTATCTTTAATGTAGTAATTTAGGGACGCCTGAACGTCCTCTTGGGTCAATCTCATTCTTGTGTAGGGGTCAGGCATTGACCACACTCCAAGTGTCTCTTGGTTCTTCCTTTCTTTTTAAATCAGGTGGCGAGTTGCTGCAGAAGTCATCTTTTGAGTCTGTCGCTGGGAGAGATTCCTCTGTAGCAAGGTCTGGAGGCGGCATTGTTCTTGGTACGAATCAATTAATCGAACGCATCCCTCAGGTTGCTAAACAACTCCGGACAGATGTTTCGGCTTTCTACCGAAGCTACAGGCTCCTTCGTGACACCATAGGCTGCAGTGAGGCTTCATGAAATTTTCTTTACAAGAATGCTTTCAATCCCCCTCTGCGTCCGCCTTGCGTAAGGCTTCAGACAGTGCGATTTTAACTCAGTGCGTAATTTTAGAGGTGATATTTCTGTGGACTGAACAAATCTGTCGAGATTCCCGACGGCTGCTTCCTAGCGAACGAAAATTTCGTCAGGCTGAGATGTCTCTAAAGATTCTTTAGCGAGTTGCTTGAAGCGTCTGAAGCAGTTCTGATACAAAAAGTCGGCTTCTCGGATGGAGTGAGCTGCTTCTGGCATATGCTTCTTTAACAAAGCGATGTCCGAATCCTTCACACTCCGAAAGTTTCTTTGATATTCGATTTTTTTTTTCGCGTGCCTGTTGATATATGTCAGAGCAGCGCTTGTAGCTTCGGCCTCGCTCGCGCTGAAAGTGAAACGGAGTATTGGCGACGTGAGCGATCGAAAGCGTTGCTGTGGTCGGCCTTCCACGATTGGCCGAATGCTGACTGTGACGTCAGCAAACGATTTCGCATTGACCGCAATAGAAGGAATGTAAGAGCTTTGATTACGACGGTGTTGGCTGTGTTGCTTGGAGAGCGCAATGATTTGAACTTCCACCATGCTAATTACAAACACCATCGAACTTTTTTGTCGCAAGATAATGACGTCACGAGAGGGAACCATAGGAGTGCGCCACCAAAACATTTCGCCACTAATAGGACGTCAGAAAAGGATTTCCCGCCGCCAGAAATAAGAGGAATGGAAGAACTTTAACTTTGACGGCGTTGGCAGCGTTGGTCCCAGAGCGCATCGATTTCAAG